CAATTTAATCAAAAGGAAGGAGGCAGAAGAGTCAGAGAGATGTGAAGATGCTATGCTGCTGGCTTTGAAGATGGAGGAAGGTGGCCGCAAGCCAGGAGCACAGGCCCTAAGACTTTAGAAGCTAGAAAAAGTGAGGAAACATTCCGCACTACAGCCTCCAGAAGGAATATAGCCCTGCCAACACCTTGATTTTTAGCTCTCTCAGATCCATTTTGTACTTCTGACCACCACTGTAAGACAATAAATTTGTGTTATTTTAAGTCACAAGTTGGTGGTACTTTTTTCTAGTAGTGATAAGAAACTAATACGATTTCCTAATTTTATAATCTTAATTTAAAAATATATAAAAATCTTACTTCTCTGTTAGAATATAAATTCCTCTAGACCAGGAACTGTATCTTTATTCATTCATATTACCAAACTATGTGTATCACATGGTCTCCCCACCATTTCTTAGGAAAATCACTAATGATTCCTAGATAAAGACTCTACTCACCTCGATGCTTGCTACATAGAGAAGCATCTCTATTGCAATCAATATCTGCATTTCTGAACTCCTTGGTGACTTGATTTTGGGGGTGGAGGAACCTCATATTTAAGCCAGAATTGGTTTTCTCTGGCCCAAGAGTTTTAATACATGGGACTTACATCTTCTTATCAACAGTTCCATAGGCTTCTTGTGCCTCAGTTTCAGCTGCTCTAGAGTTAGACCACCTGTGTGTCAACTGAGGTTTGCTTATGCAGAAGCTGCTTATGTTTTAATTCAGACCATCCCAAACATAGTCTCAAAATTGGTGAAAATCTATAAAACTTTTTCTTATAATGCAAAAACAGACCTGCTATAGATTTGCATTAATTTTCCTCTGTCTTTAGTTGAAGCCAATAAAAATGATGACTTAGGATGAGGGCAGTTTTAAATGTGCTTTGCTTGGGATGTAATGTATTAGTTACCCGTGCCTGCTGTCACTTAGCTTAAAACAACAAACATTATGTCATAATTTCTGTTAATTAGAAACTGGAAGTAGGTTAGCTGGCTAGTTCTGACTAAGGGCCTCTCAAGAGGCTGCAATCAAAGTTGTTGGTTGAGGCTGGTCAGTTAGCTCAGCTGGTTAGAGCATGGCATTGTAACGCCAAGGTGAAGGTTTCAGTTCCCCATACTGGCCAGCCACCAAAAAACAAACAAAAAATCATAGCTCAAGGCTATGGACATCTCAAGTCTTGACTCGTGAGGAATCCACTTTGAAGTTAATTCACATGACTGTTGGCTGGTCTCAGAAATCCGCTTTTAAGGCTAATTGACATGGACCCACCCACAGGGTTGCCTCACACCATTTCAGTAGCTTCTCCTGCAGTGAGCCATAATGTGTGACAGAACACCTAAGACAGAAGTCATGGTCTTTTTAAAATGTAATTTTGGAAGTGACATTCTATCGCTTCGGTTGTATTCTATTTATTACAAACAAGTCAGGAAATCCAGCCCATGTTCAAGGGGAGGAGATTACATAATGGCATGAATATCAGGGAGTGGGATCATTGGGGGCCATCTTAGTAGCTGTCTACCACAAGTATAAATTAGTGAGTTTATTAATTTACCAGAGAATATATAATCAAGTTTATAATATTTCTAACTGAAATTGTTCAATAATATCAGACATTTTGCAGTATGCCACAAATAAATCTTCCATATTAGATGAAATGAAACAAAAATGGAAGTCTTAACTTTCCACTTCTAACTAACAGATTAACTTTCCACTTCTAACAGAATGTCCACTTCTAACTTACTATTCCAATTATTCCTTTTGCTTTTTAAAATTCTATTTATTCCTCATCTAAAAATAATCTAAGGAGTTTTTAGAGATATATAAAATATTAGAATTAGTTTTTAAAAAGATGAAAGACAGAAAATTAAGTCAGAAATAAAACTGCTTTACAAGGTCATAGTCTGGTGAAAGTTGAAGACTGAACAATATTCATGGCTTTGTGGCTGATAGAGTTTGGTTGTGTTGTCTCTGTCAAAACTCGTGTGGAAATCTGATCCCCAATGTGACAGTGTTCGGAGCTGTTTGAGTCATGGGGGCGGATCCCTCATGAATGGATTAATGCCCTCCCTGGGGAAGGGGGACCTGAGTGAGATCTCACTCTGTTAGTTCCCGTGAGAGTTGGTTGTTTAAAAGACCCTGGCACCTCCCCTCTCTCTTGCTTCCTCTCGCCATGTGATCTGCTCATACCTGCCTACTGCCTGCCATTTTCTGTTGTGAGTAGAAGCAGCCTGAGGCCCACACCAGATGCAGTTGTCCCAGAATTGTAAGCCAAATAAACCCTTGTTCTTTATAAATTACCCAGTCTTAGGTATTCTGTTACAGCAAACCAAAATGGACTAATACAGTGGCTGAATAAGTTGATGTTAAGAAAATGAAAAGGCAAGTCCAAGGCTGGGAAAAAAATACAAAACATATATTATCTGATAAAAACCTTGTATCCAGAATGTGTATAAAGAATTCTTATAACTCAAAATAAAGGCAACCTGGTTTTTAAAAATAGGGAAAATATTTGAACACTTTATCAAAGAAGATATATGAATAACAAATAATACAAAGTAAAACCACAATAAGGTATTATTACACCAAGACTGGGATGGCTAAAATTAAAAAGTTTGACAAGACAAAGTTTCACCAAGAATGTAGTGCAATTGGAACTTTTGGTTCACAGGTTTTACAAAGTTAACATACTCAACATATGACCCAGCAGTCCTACTCCAAGGTGTTTACTCAAGAGAAATGAAACTGTGTATACACAAAGACTAGTACATGAATGTTCATAGCATCTTTATAATAGCCAAAAACTAGAAACAGTTTTGTAATTATATTGTGATATAATTATATACATACAATAGACTTAGCAATAAAACAGAATGAACTACTGATAAATGAAAAAACATGCACGAATCACAGAAGCATTATGCTAAGTGAAAGAAGCTAGAGACAAAAGATGACATACTGTATAATTCCATTGTATGAAATTCTGGAAAAGGCAAAACCATAGTGACAGCCTATTAGTGGTAACTAGGATTAGGAGGAGCTAATTATCTGCAAAGGGGCAAGAGGGAACTTTTGGGGATGATGGAAGTATTCTGTATCTTAATTGTGGTAGTTATGACTGTATACATTTTTCAGAATTCATCAAACTGTTCAATTAAAGTGGGTAAATTTCATTGTGTTTAAATTATACCTAAATAAAGCTTGATCAAAACAAAGAACTTTTCCACACACGCAAACACAAATCCAGTTAAGCAGTTTGCTAATCTTAAAATAATTGCACTTGGAGCAATTGTGTTTTGTTTTTAACCTCCAAGGTAATATATGAATAATCTGAGCTCCCTTGGTATAGGCTTATGTATACAAATACTACAGAATTCAGAGGAAAAGCTCTTTCTGCCTGGGATTACTGTTGGAAGACAGAAATTTTGAGCTTCCTCATAATGAGATCAGAGGATTGGAATTGGATTAGAAGGGGGAAGGGTGTCCCAAGGGAGATGTAACCGAGGTAGAGAAGTCTGAAAGGAGGTCATGCTTTTGGGGGAATAAGGAATTGACTAGTGGATCAGTGACTTTCCAATGGAAACAAAGTTGGGAAAACCATTGTGATGAGATGTTAAAAATTTTAGATTCTTGAATAGAACTTGCTATGAAAGGGTTAACATCAGATTAAGGGCATTGACATTTATAGAGCACATAGAATGGAACCTAAAACATGATCATTGCTATATGTGTTTTTTTAAATCAAATACAGTTCTCTTTTTTTTCTATGAGAGGTATTTAATGATAGAATAATAGGGAGTGGCATCCATACATGAGTTAGGACAAGAAGGTAAGGGAAATTAACATTTATTCAACATATTATATGGGTCAGATACTGTGCTTTGTGCTTGACAACAGGGATATGCAATATTATCCTTATTTTACAACTATGGAAACAGGCTCAGGAAGAGAGAGGTTTTGGTTTTAATTAATTCAAGTACCACAAACACAGAAGGGGCAGTGTTCCTCAAAGGTTGGTGAGCGCCTACTTGAGTTAAAATCACCAGGGACTTATGTCCACAAATCACAACCAGAGCTGCTAAATTTGATTGTGATGTTGAGGGTGGGGGCGGTGGTGGTACACAGGAATCCACACTGCTAACCAGCTCACTAGTTGGTTGGTAATCTCCAAAAACTTTGAGAAGCACTATGTTAAGATTTAGCAGATACTTTTGCTGTGTGGTGATTTCTAGTATTTAGAGTTCCTAGAAACATGTTAGCCTCGTAGAGGTTATCTGTAGCTTTGTCTTTGTCTATTAAAATATGTTATATCTTTACAGTGTTCATAACATACCCATAGTTCTCAATGCTCGTATTTTATAAATGAGTTAAAAAAATAAGTAAGCCAGATTTCTTTATTAGTTCTCACTAGAATTTATTTGACTGCCCAAAGTGGCCTGTACCTGGCAGCAATATTTTTTAGATTCATTTTGCCATTTCCCTTAGCTTAAGCTACCTGAAATGTGTTACTTTGTGTTTACCATTTTTATACAGTACAGGATAAATAAAGGAGTATTTTTATTATTATACATAATTTATAGTGGATAACATATAGAATAGATTTTCATAAAAGTGTATTTATAAGTAATGGGCATTTATGAGATAATTCTGTTCGCCTAAATTTTCTTTTTTCTCTTTAACAAGCATACTAGGGCCGACCCCGTGGTGCAGCGCTGGGAGCACAGCGACGCTCCCGCCGCGGGTTCGGATCCTATATAAGAATGGCTGGTGCGCTCACTGGCTGAGCACGGTGTGGGTGACACCACACCAAGGGTTGCGATCCCTTTACCGGTCACGAAAAAGACAAAAAGAAAAGAAAAAAAAAACAAGCATACTAGCCCAAAATAATTATCATATTTAGCTACCTACTTATTATTTAAATGCCAACATTTAATCTTACTTGATTATTTGTATTTTCGACAGTGATTCTTTTCTTGCACACCAAGAAAGTGTGAGACGGATGATGAGAAGTTTTTCTGAACCTTTTGGAGGAGACTTGCTCAGTATCTCTGATGGTCGAGGGAGAGCTCATAATCATACAAGACATGATAATGGTGAAAATTCCTTGACTGTAAGTTCTTTATTTTAAAGACAATTAGTGGAACATCCTGTAAGAACTTGAAGAAAAATATTACAGAAGTTTATGTCTATGATGATAGGAGGTGACTAATACTTGTGTTATAGAAATAACTATTATATAAAAGGGGGGACTTGTTGGAAATTGGACGATAAAGTGTTAGCTGTACAGAATTCCACTGTGCTACCAAAACTCTTAGGACCATTATAAGCCAAACTTAAACCATATTTTTCATATATATTTTTAAATATATTTTTCATATATATATTTTATATATATGACTATATATATTCATATATTTTATATAGAGAGAATTTTTCATATGTATTTTTATATATATGACTATATATATTCATGTATACTTTATATATATATATATATACTCATATGTATATTTTATATATATATAGAATGACCAGAACACGTAAGGAAATATCCTTCCTGTCTCATACACTATTTTTAATACTTTTTCAAATAGTAGTGAAATCAATAATATAATGCTTTGTCTTTATAGGACCAGGAAACACTAATCTGCATGGCTACCTTGGACCTTCAAAGCTTAGATTAACCTTTAACTGTATTTCAAGAACCTTGCACATCTGCAGTATATTTTCATAAGTCTGTCTGAGAGCAAAGCTGGAAGGTTACATACTTAAAAAAAAGAAAGGAAAAAAAAACTCAGGATATTTATACATTTCAACCATTTTCTTTTTTACCTCTTTTTATTTGTTTCTTTTTCAGCCTCAGGAATGGCAGTTGTAGAGTAACAAATCCACAGGGATTTCTATAAAGATGAATCTCCACAATTAAAATGTAGATATTGGGAACTCAGTAAACATTAAATTGGTCAGTTGGGAAACTTACAGAATCTTCCAGAAAAACATTTTCTTGTTTTCTGTTTGCGGTAAACTTAAAAAGAACCAAGCATTTCGGATAATGCTAAGAAGTTTGATGAATAAAATTCATTTCCCACTTAAAATGAAAGTAATCTTCACATTGTTTTTCACATATGTTATTCCTAAGCAGCATATGCACATTCCAATTAGTTTTCTTTTAATTAGTGAAGAGTGGATCATTATATATATTTTTTTACTTTTAGTGCTAATCAGTTTGCATAAAAGTTTAAAATTAATATCAGGAAAAATTGTCAAAAGGGCAGAAAAATCAGTTATGATATTCTGAAATTTTGTCTTTCATGGGAGCATTATAATATTTTATATATCTACTATAACCATAGCAAGGAAAGAGTATGACTATATATAGCTCTTTATATTTATGCACATAAATGAGCTCTTCACAGCTTTTATGGAAGAAGCAAGAAGTGGTAATTTTATTCCCTTGTAAGCATAGAAATGAGAGACCTGTTTATAATTCAGCTGAAAATGTTTTATTGAAAATGTCTGTACACATCACCTATAACTCTCTGGTCATCCACTGGAAGCAAAAGTAAATGTTTTTTTCCTGGGCACTTGTGCTTTTTTTAAAAAAAATTTTTATTATTAGCGTATTCATTATTACAAATTTTAATTTTTCTTTAAGCCCTTTACCCAGCCTATCACTCCCCAAACCTCCTTCCTCCCTCCCTGAACCTCCTTCCTCCTTCCCTCCCCTAGTGTCCTTAGGTTTGTTCTCTCCTTCTGAAAGTTCAACATATTGTTGTGGTTCTTTCTTCCTTCCTCCCTCCCTCCCTCCCAGTTATGAGTGAGAACATGCGGTATTTCTCCTTCAGCACTTGTGCTTAAAACACTGAATATTTAACAAGCACTGGAATAAGAAATATATAACCAAATAAAGAGATAAATTTCTATGAAACTGTAGTTTGTAAAGTAAATAATTTAGAACTATTTGCATTTTATCATGCTTTGTATTATATTTGCCTTGCCAACCTAGCTTTAAATCAAGTGTTGGGAGAAAAGAAGAAAACACATAGCTGAAGTAATATGGTTGCATAAATGTGATGATTAATAAGAAAAGTCAAGTAGGAAAGCAATTCTTAATATAAAGGAAGACCAAGAACAACATGTGAGTGAAAAACTAAAATAGCTGCTACCTTCTCATAATCAGGTTGCCATAACAAAATAACTTAGACTGGGTAGCTTTTAAACAACAGAAATTTATTTCTTATAGTTCTGGAAGCTGGGAAGTCCAAGATCAAGGTGCTGGCAGATTTGCTGTCTCTTTTATACATGGCACCTTCTTGTTGTGTCCTCACATGGTGGAAATGGCAAACAAGCTCCTTCAGGCCTCTTTTATAAAACACTAATTCCATTCATGAGGGCTGTGCCCTCATGACCTAATCACCTCATAACTGTCCCACCTCTTAATACTGTTGCATTAGGGATTATGTTGCAAAATATAAATTTGAGGGGGACACTAACATTAGCTAGTTTATGGTGGCATAGATTAGCTTTTGTCTAAGATTATAAATCATTTGTTACTGTAGTCTGAAGTCTGTAGACTAGCATTATCCAATAGAACTTTCTGGAAAATGGAAATGTTCTAAATATGCACTGTCCAGTATGGTAGCCACTGGCTGTATATGTCTATTGAGCCCTTGAAATGTGCCTAGTGCTACTGATGAACTAAATTTTAAATTTTTTTAATTTTAATTATTTTAAATTTAATTTTAAATAGCCACGTGTGGCTAGTGGATACATTAATGAACAGCATGATGATAGACATTCAAATGGATTCCAAAGCGTTTAGCTTTTTTCTAATGAATGGTAAGTAAAGATCATTGATCACCTATATACAAACCTATCGTCTTATTCCCATTTAGTAATCTCTTAGATCTTCCAAGGAAAAACTGCAATATTCATGTACCTATTAAAGTAAATGGTAATTTTTACTATATCAGATTTAGACCAACCCATTTCATAAAAGCTTGAACATAAGTCTCATAGCTCTTTTTATTATTATTATTTTATTTTATTTGGTTTTTTTGGTGCCAAAACCCGGAAATGAGTCTCGTAGCCTTTTCAATAGTAATCCTTAGTAGTAGTTACTTGCTTTTCATATCTGAAATCAAGTAGTATACATTTTTCTTTATTACATTGCATCAACTATCTTAGAAAGTTAATACCAATACATTTGTTTTGAATTGTTCAAACTGTGAAAACTTTTTGCTAAATAAGAGCACTGTGCATTGTTCTAGGGCAGTTGAAAGCCAGTAGTAATTTTTAAAATACAGGAATTTCATCCTGTTACAGTGGGTTTTCAAAGAACTATTCAACCTCATTTTTTAGCCAAAATTCATTTTTTCCCTGTACATTTATATCAGGGAGATATGGCTCTCCTTTTTTTCTCAAGGGTGTGATTTATTTGACAAACTTATGTCTAAATATGAAGGACTTATGTAATAGGAAAAGTAAATTAATTAACAGAAAACAAAACTAAATTAATTAAAAGAAAACAAAAACAAACAAGCAGCAACAACAAATGACCTCTATCCCAACCTAACTTTTCTGTCAGTGTTTTATATCTACATATGAATGTGAGCACAAAAATTATAAATTGACTACAGAAAATGGAAAAGGCTGATGCTGCTATGTTTGAAAAGAGTAGAACCATGAAAACAATAGGCTTTTTGAGCATGATAACTGTCCAAGTCTATTTGAATTTTTAATAAAAATTTATATAAAAGCTTTTCTGTATTTTTGTAAAGTAATGTTTTAAAATGAGTGTTTTGATTAAGCAGTGAGCCATTATGCTTATGTTTTTAAGCATAGTGGGTGAAAATCTGTATTTCATATGGATACCTTGATTATTTTTTTTTTTATTTTTGGCCAATTTCTGGACAGTTGTCATGTTTATGAGCTATAGTATGAGGGAAAACAGAGACTCTTACTAAAAGTAGAAGCATAAACTATGCCATTTTCTTATGTTTGTATTATTAGCATTTTCTTCTATTCGTAGTTTCTTTATGGGGATATTTTAAAGCCAGTTGTCCATTTTGTAAGGGTTAGTTTTGCTTAAAACTAGATAATTTAATCTGTAAATTCAACTAAGGACATTATAACTCAAGATATAACAGTTAGACTGAGTGATGGTGCCAAGTCAATCTAAAAATCTGTTCTTCCTTTCAGTAAAAAGACTAATGTTCTAGATATATATTATAAGTATGTATCATCTGATACCATTTAATATAAAATTTTTAATGATAAAACATTATACTAAAAAGTTATCTATAATGATTTATAATTATAGATGATAATATCAAAACATTATCAGTGAATGATAAAATTTAATATATACCTTTTACTCAGAAATTCAAATTTTATTTTTAACATTTGAACCTTCCAAGTAGTGAAAGTTTTAAATTTTTATACATCTAAAAATTTGATTTTATTAATCTGTACCTGTTGAGGAATACAATTTGTGAACTATCAATTTTGATTATTTCATCAATTATACTTAACATTGTTTTGCCTGTCAAAGACTCTAAATATTTTTAAATCTATGTATATGATCCTTGCTGGTCTATATTAATTTCTCATTCCATAAAAAATAGAAGTAGGAGGTATTAAATTTTTACCCAATATCTCTACTAATCTTTTGGAATTTTATTAATGTATGTAGCTGATCTTTTAAAAATATGGAATAGTTGAGTAAAGGAAAGATGATTTAATCTTATTTGTTGTACCTTTTGTTTTAATTAACTTTGATATAAATTTGCATTTCCCTTGAGAAATGTTTATCTTAATCCATAGCAAATGCTTTTTCTTTTAACTTCCTTTAATAAGTATTAGAGTAGTCGTATTTTCAAGTGATACATGGTCTCTTTATTTGCCTGTCAGGCTCTACAATGAATAATAAGCAGATAATTTAAAAAATATATGTTGAGTTATTTTTTATTAAAAGTTTCTATTATTTTGGTAGTGCTTAGCTATGTGGTTATATAGTGCATTATTTTCTTTTTCAATAAACGTCATAACCAAATTAATTAAATATTACTTTTCTAGGCAACAAGTTCTCTTGTGCCTTTTGGCAGTTTTGGTGGTATGGTTCGTATCATGAGACATAAGCCATTTTAGCAGTATTTTCTGACAATTTTTTTTCCCATTAACTCAAGCAGACTGAATTGGCATGTAGACTCACTAACTTTCATAATGGCTTTTTAGTATTGTACTGAAAACCTCTGTTTCATGTATTAAATTTGTCTTAGAGTGTTTAAGCGTGTGTTTTCTTAAGTAGGTCACATAAACATATGTAAAATCAGTTTTCAAAAATAAAAGTATATTTTAATAGATGAATATTTGCTTGATTTACAAAAGGGGTCCCACATAGTTGTGTTTCAAAGTTGGGACTTCCATATGCTTATAATGCATTTCCAAAAGGTGAAAAAGCACCAAACCATAGATCAATAAGCACAACATTTGGAAAAGCTTAGATTGGCTTCTTTCCTCTAGGATTTTGTTACCAACTTGTCCGTGCTTTTCCTTGCCCATACTCAACGTGTGGCTACTCTGCAACTGGCATTTCTACCACCCCTGTTTCTTTGAGCTTTGGACTGTATCTGTGATGCTAGTTTCCAACACCATTTGCCTCCCTGAAGTTTTACATATAGCATTTATCCTTCCTGACCAGAGTTTGCAGTGAGACAGATGACAAAAAAAAAAAAAAAGGAAAAGAAAGAAAAAAGCAGAGTTATCAGTAACATGATCAGGAAGTTCATCATGCTGTGAGAGCACAAATAGAAAAGAGTACTTACCCCAGACCTTTTCAGGTAGGATGGGGAGTGGAGGGAGAGAAAATTTTCTGAACTTTAACGATTAGTAGGAGTTAGCCATGAAAAGCTGGGGGAGGAAAGGAAGAGTGTTCAACACAGAGGAAACAGCATGTGCAAAGACCTAGAGACTAGAGAGCTCAAAGATGTTTAGGACCACTTGGCCCTACAATAAGAATTGGACAGTAGATATAGATGAGGATGAAGAGGTAATTAGGGACTTGCTTAGGCCATAGGAAGGAGTGTGGACATTATCCTTAAGGTAATTTCAGATATTCACAATACTCAGCAAATACAGATAATCTTCTGGTGCCTGATTTGACAATGAATTTAGAAGAGGGCAGAACACACCCAAACATCTGATCTTTTCCTTCTCCTCCTCTGCTTCTTCTTGGGACTAATCCCTCCATCTCTCACAAATTCTCTCTCTCATACAGGCCCTGATTCTCAACCCAGTGTTGAAACAAAATATTCCTAATATTCCTGAATTGTGTTGAGTCTCTGAAATGCAGATTAATTCTACTACAGTCTTTTGTATACCCAAAGTTGTATCAGTATCTCCTAAATATGCCTTTGTTGTTCCCTATCATATTAAAAGCAGGTTTTCCCATCTATTTTCCATTGTCACAAGCAGTAAAAAGCCAATAGAAAGCCTCTGATAATTCTTTTTTTTTAATTTTTTTTTCATTGTACATTTTTATGGGGCACACTTTGTTGTTTCAATACATGTATTTATTGTAGAGTTATCCAGTTAGAATAGTTAGCATATCTATCACCTAAACATTTATCATTTCTTTGTGGTTATAACATGCAATACCCTCTCTTTTAGCTTTCTTGAAATATACAAAATAATATTAGTTATTGTCATCCTAAAGCATCAGAACTTATTCTTCCTATCTAACTGTAAGTTTGTAACTTTGTAACTTTGTACCAGTCTACCAACCTTTCCCCATTCATCCTCCCTCTTCCCTTTCCCTGCCTCAGGTAACTACTATCCTACTCTCTATTTCTATATTTTCCCCTTTTAAATTTATTTTTCTTAATTGGCCCATGATAACTGTATATATTTATAGAGTACAATATAATATTTGGGTACATTCATACTGTGTGCAATGATCATATCAGAGTGCTTACTATATTCATCACCTCAAACATTTGTTACCTCTTTGTGTCAGGAACATTCAACATCATCTCTATTATCTATTCAAAGATATACTGTTCTTTGTTGTTGACCGTAGTCTCCCTATATTGCTGTAGTACACTAAATCGCATTCATGCTCTCTCTGCAATTTTATATCTGCTGACCACCCTCTCTCCATTTTCTTCTTCCCCTCACCGGTCTCTAGTAATCACTATTCTAACTCTCCACTTTTATGAGACCTTTGATAACTCTTTATTGAGGCCAAGCTAGGCACACAGCAAATGAATCTCCAAGAGGATTGAAATACCAGCACTGAATCACAGTGCCTTACAAGATTAAGAAGACTCATCCTGCATGAGCGGAGGAGTTTTCTTGAACCAGGCAACTCCCTGTTTTATAATAGTAGACAGTGCACTGGGTAAAACATTAGAATGTGTGCTTTACTTTTATTTTCTTGTGAGTGTTCCAGTGATAAAACATAAAATCAATAGATTTTTCTAAACAGGAATTCTCAACCTATGCAGTACTGACTTTTTAGGGTAGATAATTCTTTGTTCTGGGGGGCTGTCCTATGCATTGTAGGATGTTTGGCAGCATCCCTGACCTGTATCCGCTAGCTGCTAGTCACACACCTTCCTCAATTGTGACATCCCAAAATGAGTATAGTTATTGCCAAATGTACCCTTGGGGTTAAAAACCACTCTTGGTTGAGAAACCACTGTTCTGGAGGAATTCATAACTATTTTTCTGAAGGAGCATACCTCATGCTTCAAGGGTATGGCCCACTGATCCTTGAATAGGGAGGAAAATGAAAGCCTATTAGTAGAGGGTGTTGAACTCTTACCACCTAGACTCTACTATGATGAGAGAGCTAGATACTCGAGTGCAGCTTCTACCAACCACGTGGTTCTGGTGGAAGTGACATAGGCATCTTATACCCAAGTTTGATTTATTTGCATAGTGTGGGATATTCAGATGGAAGAAGGAAAAATTTAAAGACTATCCTATACTTGATCTGTTCCAGCCCAAGATACTCCACTCAGTATTTAATATCAACCAAATTATGTTTTGAGAAAGCCGATGAATGCTGTGTGTTTCTGGATTAAATGCACATGCATGTATTAATGTGTGTATATATACACCTGTGTATTTATAGTACTATATTGTTCCCTAATCATTTATTTGTTAGCTGTTTGGGATTTTGTGTATGCTTCAATTTGTGTTTTAACAAATCACTTTCATTGTATAGTCCTTAAATTATCTTTACCTGGTTGATTACCGCATGAGAACCCACTAAAATCAATAAGGGGAAAATTTTTTCAGCTGTTTTGGAAAGACTGATTTGCTTTTTTCATGTTGTATTTGTAGTTAATAACATACTTCCTAATATCCTGTAGCATACAGATGTCAGCCCTTTTCAGGCAATGGATCGAATGATGTTAAATATGCGAAACAGTATGCAGGAATTACAAAGAAACTTTGTAAGTACTAAAAATAAAGTGATTGCTTTCAGTGATTGGTAGTTTATATTATAGTGGCTTTCAAACATTTTTTAACCACAGTCCATAGTGATTAAAAAATATATCTTACACGATCAACCCAATGTACAATACTTGTGTGCTTTGTAAGTATACCTGAAGCAAAAGTTTTGTGAAAAAATGATCATATTGTTTACAGTGTGTTCTATTTTGTATTTCATTTCATGTTTTAAAAATCCTGGTCACAACCTACAAGTTTGAAAACTAACATTAATTAACTTTCAAAATTAAAAATTCAACCACAAAAACATTTGTTCTGCTGAAAGTCACTATTGTAAATGAACATTTTATATGAATTTGCATACAGTCATGCATTGCTTAATGATGGGGATGAATTCTGAGAAATGTGTCATTAGGAAATATTGTGTGAACATCATAGAGTGTACCTACCCAAACCTAGATGGTATAGCCTACTACACACCTAGGCTATATGGTATATAACTTACGGCTTCTATGTGAGTAATGTGTTGCGCTGACGTGTTGATGGCTACTATATCACTAAGCAATAGGAATTTTTCAGTTCTATTATAATCTTATGGGACCACCGTCATATATATGGTCCGTTGTTGACCAGAATGTCATTTGTGACACATGACTGTATCTTTATTATCTATAACCTATCTACTTAAAAGGATTTGTAACATTTAAGAAATTATGTTTTAGTGTTAAAAAAATTCTGAAAACAAATTTCAGGAATGATTTTTAGGTACTGGATTAGATCCATATAGTCCACATACTTATAAATTAGTGCTAATACTCTTCTACACATAATATTAACATCAAAAACAATAAGTTGATTTGATCTGAAGAAGAAAGACCCATCTCATTCTGGTCATCCAGTTTGGATTGTATGGATCATTTCAGAATTTCCAGATCCTGTTTCCTAATAATGATTAATGATTTTAGAAAGCAATCTGGTACCCACAAGAGGTATGAAACTTCTTGGTGTATGGCTAATTGGCTCAGTGTTGGCAAGATTGCACACAAGGGTCAACCACTGACTACAGAAGGATCACAGGTTTCAGAGCATGGCATCTTTATTTAAATCTAAGCCACAAGGATCTCTGAATGAATCACTTGTTATCATTCTTTACAGGGAGAGTGGGAATTGGTACTTAAAATGGAAAGATGTTAGGACCTCCCTAGGGGTGCTATTTGGATACACCATATTGGTAACATGGTATCCTTAGTAGAACTTTTATAGCTAGTGTTGTTACGTATTTGAACTCTCTAGCATTAATTCTCTGTATTTGACTAGACTCTGAATTTACAATTTCTGTTTACCTCTAGGGTCAACTTTCAATGGATCCAGATGGACATTCATTTTGTTCCTCTTCAGTTATGACTTATTCCAAAGTAGGGGATGAACCACCAAAGGTTTTTCAGGCCTCAACTCAAACCCGTAGGGCTCCAGGAGGAGTAAGTATTTTCTAAGCATTCTTAAAGCCTAAGTTGTGGGACGATAGATTGATTGCCTGTTATTAAAATTGGCAGTTGTCACTTAGAAAAGCTCAACTGTATTTACATGGCATTTTTTTTGTCTCCCCATGAGGATTCCTTTTTTCATGTAAATATCTATTGATGTGTGTTAACTTTATATATTGACAAGGTAAACAGACACTAAAAGAAACTTTGGTTTATGAAATAAGTATCTACTTTTAGTTTATATTTGGAGTAATTAATTTTTAACTTGTAAAATATTTCAAGTGTATAGAAGGATATAGCGAATAATATAATGAATACCCATATTCCTGCCACCCAGCTTAGTCAAATCATAACATTTTTCTTTATTTGTTTCAAGTTGTCTCTTGTTTTGTTTTCTTTTTAAGCAAAAATGCCACAGATGCAGTTAAAGCTTCCAGTGCATTCCTCTGAGGTCCCTTTTCTCTTTCTCCTTCTTCAAAGATAACCATTTTCCAAAATCTGGAGTTAATCATTCTCATATGTGTTTTTACAATTTTATTACTTATATATGGATCATAAAAATATAATGGATTACTTTTGCAGGTTTCTAAACTTGATATAGATGGTATCATATTGCATGTGTCCTCAACAGCTGGCCTTTGCTCAGTACTATGCTTCTGAGATATATTCAAGTTGATATGTGTGGACTTAGATTTTAACTTCTTTGTAGTATCCAAAATATGAATAAACCACAATTTTTAGTCCATTTTTCTATTGAAAGATATTTAGGTATATAAATAATTTTTATAATTTTTCACTAATTCATCCTTATGAAAGTATTACAGGTTTCAGGGCATAGCATATTTATTTAAATTATGTCTCGTGCGAAGGATCTAGAAATGGTATTATTACTAGGGTGTGAGTACTTTCATCTTTACCTAGAAATTACCAAGTTTACCTCACAGTGATTGAAACTGTTGGCTTCCACAAACTGTGGTATGGGAGTTCCTATTTCTCCACTTCCTTGTTAGTACCTATAGTAAAATTTTAGGTTTGCCAGTCTAATGAGTGTGAGGTAGTTCAGTTTTTAGTTCTTACATATAAAGATGAATCTTTTAATTATGCTCTTGCCATATTTTGGCTAATTCATCTCAGACATTTTAATTTTAAATTGCTGTAAGTGACAAAGTCTTAAACACAAACAATATAATTGTAGATGTCGCACAACAAATCATGTTAATATTTGCCTATCATAAATATTTGGTCATCATAAATATTCTAATAACACCTCCATAGAGTCGATAGGTGGGAACCATGAGATTCAAGCCTGTCAACATGACTGGTGGATAATTAGTTGCCTTTACTTGCAGGAGTTCCAGCATGAACTTCCATCTATTATTTTGTCAAAGATAGTGTCGAAGGCATTGAGTTTTTTTTATAATTAAGTTTTTCTTTTTTTTAATATTTGATTACAATCTGGAAAAAGATTGAATCGAATTGGTTCTATTTATTGTAGAAATTTTCATTTTAAGTTGTTCAGGAAATAGCAAAGACCTATTTGTTACCACAATTTTGCTGCATGATGATACTGGAACTCAGTACCCATTATTTTTAGAGCTGTAGATCTATGGCCTTACCTCAATAGGTAAATAGGCCCTGAGAAATTTATAACTAAATCCATTCTGTACATATCTAAATAATAACTAAATAATTTTATTTATTTTTACAGATAAAGGAAACCAGGAGAGCAATGAGAGATTCTGACAGTGGAGTAGAAAAAATGGCTGTTGGTCACCATATCCGTGACCGAGCTCATGTCATTAAAAAGTCAAAGAACAAGAAGACTGGAGATGAAGAGGTTGATCAAGAGTTCATAAATATGAATGAAAGTAAGTTATCACAAAAAATAATGTTTGTTCTTGTAATGTTAAAATAGCATCTATACTTGCAGAACTTGATTAATATTTTTTGTAGAAACATTTATAAGGTGTAGATTATGAATTATATGTGTAGGCAATACCTTGTCAAAGTAATAACATCATAGTTCATCATTTCATAATAGATCTTTTTTTTTACAGTGATTTTTGGCAATTTGGAGTGTCATTTATTTGTTTTGTTTAATATTTAGAAAATGGAATCTTTTGAATTGTTATATAGTAGTATAATCATAAGCAAAATGAGTTTTTAAATTTTTTTTCTAATTATCAAGGAAGTACATTTGAAAAGTATAAAGAAAATAAAAATCATTTGCAATCCCAACCCAAATTAACTACTATTAATAATGTTTTAGTGTATTTCTTCCTAATAATTTTATGTATATATAAACACACATACTTTTTTCAAATTAGTATTTTACTATCTGTATAGTTTATATCATGCATATTTTAACTCACCAGTATAATTGTAAACAGTCACCTATGATGTTATTTTTCAAAAACATTCTAACTGGTTAACTAAAAGTTGTGAATAGGCCCTAGTTTATTTAAACCATTCTGTATTGTTGGGCACTTAGGCTATATAGATAAGATTTTAATTTCTGGTTAGATAATAATCATACATATATAGATATATATGTATAACTGAGGGTTGCGATCCGTTGCCGGTCACGAAAAAAGACAAAAAGGAAAAAAAAAAAATTATTCTTATGCAATAGGATGGAAACCATGATATCTTGACCTTTTCTAAATTGTAACCTTTGTAATTCTATCATATTTAAATTTATACTGAGTACTTCACAATAATTAACATGTCAAAGAAAAATTAATTGAAGGAACACATGATTATAAAGGCAATCTGAAAGAACAAGTACTATCACGTACGTATTGTTTTTATGGAAGTTAAATTACCTACTTCATGACAACATAAACTGACAGTCAAGTTGAGTAATCCGACTTAGGAAAATTGACAACAGGAGCTTGTAGGGTGTCAAGTTGCATAGGAAGATGGTAAGGTAAATATAAGTGCTAGTCACAGAAGGAGTGTCCAAGTTAATAGGAACAGCATGGTAACTGCAAGATGACCCAGGAAAAAAGACTATAAGTCAGTGTAATTGGGTCAACCAGCCCTTTGGATAAAATACTACAATATCTCAGCAGATGAGTGAAAAACTAGATTATCAATAACCAGATCATCAGTAGGAATAGGAGATGAACAAACAGGAAAGGAAATATTACCCTAGTCAAAGACCTTCATATTTGAAGCAGCTTCCTGCCTCTATCTTGAGGGTAGGCTGATAAAAACACCAGGCTAGCATGAAGTGTGTGGGGAGCAATGCAGTTACTATAGTTGATACCTTAATACTTATTCCCTTTATTTTGATATTTAATGTAGGTGATGCACATGCTTTTGATGATGAGTGGCAAAATGAGGTTTTGAAGTACAAACCAGGGGGACGATGGCGGAATCTAGAAAATACTAGAATGAGAAGTGTTGGTCATGATTCAGGATCCCGGGAACTTAAAAGAAGGTAAAAGTTATTTCAAAAATAAATTGTGCTTTTTTTTTTTTTAAAGAAGAATTAAAAGAAAAGTTATGTAATTTTACCTCTTTTATCAGGAAGTTTTGATGAACATCCAAGTTATATCCTCAATATCTTTTGGGAAAGATGTAATAATTTTACATTAAACCTGCATATTTTACATAAATTTAAATTTGTATCTAAAACCCAGTAATATTTTGGATGTATGGATAGTAAATTATTAGCAAATTATGCTTCAGAAGATAGAGGCCAAAATCCTCCTAAGGAAAACTGATATACCTAAACTATATTCTAGTTATTCCTGTGAAACAGATTCTAATCTGGATATAGAGTCATACATTCCACACCAGGTAAAGATGTTGTATCTAGAGTATGATAAGGGGAAAGGGGCAGTGTTTAGAAGATTTAATAACTTCTGTAACAGGTCAAAATTCGGCATGTAATAGTAAATGAATTTTTAGAAACTTGTATAATATGTAACAGTGTGTGAAATACCACATTTCATGTGTATTAAATATTTTGGAAGAATTTTACAAAAACTTTAGCATTCCTTGGACTTATCTTTTGGAATAGCTGTGAAAAATAAATGTGTTAAAACTACATACTAAAGGTTATAGAGATTTTTATACATTTAGTACATATTGTAGAGTTACAATTTAATTTGGTTCTCTGGGAGAAAAAATTGAAAGTACCTAATTCCTATTAAAATTACACTCAAAAGAGAGGCCTCACCAGGCCTTAAAACAGAAATCTGTTCTAGGCCATAAGAGAGTGGAGAATTGCTGCAGAAGGTGGAAGGCTTCACAGAACCAGCGGTGGACAAGTGGGTATCAAGTAAACCAGAAGCCTTGAGCAGAATTTCATGTGCTAGCATCCTTTCTTTTAAAGTACTTGTTTAAGAATTTAGAGCCATAATATTTTGTATTAAGTGGCTTTAAAACTTCTTCCCATATTAATTTTAGATAATATGTCTCACTTTGTAAAATGTATTAATTAAAAACCTAACAGTGCTAAGTTTGAATATGAAATTTAGGTTCTGGATAGAGAAAGCATGCTCTTTATGGATGACCTATAAATCTATGGCCCTAACAGTGGCTTTTTCTCTTAAATAGCACTGCTCAATAGCATTTTCTGAAATGATTTTCTGCAGTGACGAAATGTTATGTATCTGTGCTGTCCAATATGATTGCCACTAACCACATGTGGCTATTGAATCACATTTGAAATGTAGCTGGTACAACTGAGGAACTGAATTATTTTATTTTATTTTAATTAATTTAAATATAAATGTGGCTAGTGGCTACCATATTGGGCAGCATGGTTTAAACTAAACAGTTAAATCTATTTCAGGTAAATCTATTTCAGCTGTTGCTCTCTTAAATGTTCAGTGAAATAGTCTGCTTTATGTTTTTCAGAACTATTAAGGAACTTTTCAGATAAAACTCTTAAACTACAGTAGTTTTTAACATGTTTGTACTGATTTATAAATCATTGACCATTTTTAAGAAATTATATTAATGTTCATATCTATATTTCTCAGGGAGAAATCTCACCAAAGTCCAGCTATTGAAAGTGGAAGAAAATCAAACATTTTTGTGGACAAACTCAACGTCAAAGGATCACCTGTGAAAATCAACAAAAAATAAATAGCCATGCATTTGATTTGTTTGGTGTGGGTTGTTTTAACAGAGAAAGTAATGGTGCTGGGTAATACACATAAGACCAATCTCTTGTTAAATCAATACTGTACTTTGTAACTTTCTTCTGATATCTGAATGTTCTCGGAAGTGCTAACTTTATATTGTTCCTAATTTAAGAATAAAATTTTGATTTTCACCAATGTGAGTAAATTGTTAGACATTCTATAAAAGTCTGTGCTTTCCAACATACTAATTTTTAAAGCTCACATGCTGATTTTGCTTTCTCAATTATTTTTGTATTGGCTATGTATTCTTTTACACTTATCAGGATTGATTATACAGCTAGTTTTATCATTTATATTTAGGTATAAGAAAGTAAAAAGTTAAAAAGTCAGTTTTCACTAACACTACTAGAATGATGTTAGTAAAGGTTTAATTTATCTCAAATTTTATAATGTGTTATGTAGCCAACTAGCATAAAGCTTTAAAAATAATAAAGCAAAACTATACTAGTACAGTTTTATGAGAAATTAGTTACTACTTTGGTAAAGGCCAAGAATAATCAAATAGTTCATTTTCAAAGTAAATTATTTTGAGTTGCTAATATACATGAGTTTTCTTGTTATAATTTCTTGTCTTTACACAGTGTATTCCTTTTTTTTCTATATTACATTCATAACATTCTCAACATCAGACTTTATATCGACCTTTCTGTTTAATTTCTTAAGATGGTATATTTCTGCTCTTTTTTTCCACAAACAGCTTAATCTGTCTCCAGAGTTAACATTCTAAAGTCTGGAGAGGCCTTGAAGAAACTCTGCTCAGCTTTTTTGTGACATTCAGAAAAATACATTTAGGGGCCGGCCCGGTGGGGCACTGGAGAGTGCGCCGCTTGGGAGTGCGGCAGCGCTCCCGCTGAGGGTTCGGATCCCATGTGGAGACCGGTTCCCACTCACTGGCTGAGCGCGGTGCAGGCGCAACACCAAGGGTTGCGATCCCGTTGCCGGTCCCTGGTATGGGCGCGACACTGAGGGTTGCGATCCCGTTACCAGTCAGTAAAAAAGACAAAAAGGAAAAAAAAAAAAAAAAAAGAAAAATACATTTAGGATTCTGTAAATCAGAATGATTGATTGTCTCAAAATTTGTTAGATAGTTGATGTGTGTTTTTGAGCAAGGTGCTTAATAAATCAATTGTTCTCATTTTAATTATACCATTTTAAAAATTCAGCTCTAGCTTTTTTATTCTAGAAAAAAATCTATAAAAGTTAGATTTTTCTATAAACGGTAGGCTTGAAGTTTATGAGAATATAAAATCTTTACTCTAATGTCTGTTGTTTAAGGCAACATTTCTATCAAGGAAAAAAAGAAGAGAAAATTACCTATCACTCTATAATCCTAAGTATTTTTCTTTTTAAGTTTAGAAGTAAAATTATATACGCTTTTTTTTTGTTTGTTTGTTTGTTTTATTATTTTTATTTTGTCAATATACAATGTAGTTGATTATTATGTCCCATCACCGAAACCTCCCTCCCTCTTCCCTCTCCCCGCTCCCACCCAAGTGTATCCCCTCCATTTGCTTGTTGTAAGAACTTCAAAAAAAAAAAATAAATAAATAAAAATAATTGTGGTTTTTATATCTTCCTCCCCCCCCCCCCCCC